ATTATGGTAAGGCATAAAATTCTCAAAAAACGTCATATAGTATGGCATGAAATTGTCAAAAAACATCATAGTATAATAAGGCATAAAATTGTCAAAAAACGTCATAGTAAAGTATGGCAAAAAATGTCATAGTATAGTAAGGCATAAAACCTCAAAAAATGTCATAGTATAGTATGGCATAAAATTGTCAAAAAATTGTCAAAAAACGTCATAGTATAGCATGGCAAAAAATTTCATAGTATAGTATGGCATAAAATTGTCAAAAAATTGTCAAAAAACGTCATAGTATAGCATGGCAAAAATTTCATAGTATAGTAAGGCATAAAACCTCAAAAAACGTCATATTATAGTAAGGCATAAAATTGTCAACAAATGTCACAGTATAGTATGGCAAAAAATGTCATATTATAGTAAGGCATAACATTCTCAAAAAAACGTCATAGTATAGTATGGCAAAAAATGTCAAAAAAACGTCATAATATATTATGGCATGAAATTGTCAAAAAACGTCATAGTATAGTATGGCAACATACGTCATAGTATAAATAGGCATCAAACTTCAAAAAACATCATATTATAGTAAGGCATAAAATTCTCAAAAAACGTCATAGTATAGTATGGCATAAAATGTCAAAAAACGTCATAATATAGTATGGCATGAAATTGTCAAAAAACGTCATAGTATAGTATGGCAAAAAATGTCATAGTATAGTAAGGCATAAAACCTCAGAAAATGTCATAGTATAGTAAGGCATAAAACCTCAGAAAATGTCATAGTATAGTATGGCATAAAATTGTCAAAAAATTGTCAAAAAACGTCATAGTATAGCATGGCAAAAAATTTCATAGTATAGTAAGGCATAAAACCTCAAAAAACGTCATATTATAGTAAGGCATAAAATTGTCAACAAATGTCACAGTATAGTATGGCAAAAAATGTCATATTATAGTAAGGCATAACATTCTCAAAAAAACGTCATAGTATAGTATGGCAAAAAATGTCAAAAAAACGTCATAATATATTATGGCATGAAATTGTCAAAAAACGTCATAGTATAGTATGGCAACATACGTCATAGTATAAATAGGTATAAAACTTCAAAAAACATCATATTATGGTAAGGCATAAAATTCTCAAAAAACGTCATAGTATAGTATGGCATAAAATGTCAAAAAACGTCATAATATAGTATGGCATGAAATTGTCAAAAAACATCATAGTATAGTATGGCAAAAAATGTCATAGTATAGTAAGGCATAAAATCTCAAAAAATGTCATAGTATAGTATGGCATAAATTTGTCAAAAAATTGTCAAAAAACGTCATAGTATAGCATGGCAAAAAATTTCATAGTATAGTAAGGCATAAAACCTCAAAAAACGTCATATTATAGTAAGGCATAAAATTGTCAACAAATGTCACAGTATAGTATGGCAAAAAATGTCATATTATAGTAAGGCATAAAATTCTCAAAAAAACGTCATAGTATAGTATGGCAAAAAATGTCAAAAAACGTCATAATATATTATGGCATGAAATTGTCATAAAATGTCATAGTATAGTATGGCAACATACGACATAGTATAGTAAGGCATAAAATTGTCAAAAAATGTCATAGTATAGTATGGCATAAAATTTCAAAAAACGTCATAATATTGTATGGCATGAAATTGTCAAAAAACGTCATAGTAGAATAAGGCATAAAATTGTCAAAAAACGTCATAGTAAAGTATGGCAAAAAATTTCATAGTATAGTAAGGCATTAAACCTCAAAAAACGTCATATCATAGTAAGGCATAAAATTATCAAAAAATGTCATAGTATAGTATGGCATAAAACCTCAAAAAATGTCATAGTATAGTAAGGCATAAAACCTGAAAAAACGTCAAAGTATAGTAAGGCAAAAAATGATCAAAAAACATCATAGTATAGTATGGCAACATACGACATAGTATAGTAAGACATAAAACTTCAAAAAACATCATATTATAGTAAGGCATAAAATTCTCAAAAAACGTCATAGTATAGTATGGCAAAAAATGGCATAAAACTTCATAATATAGTATGGCATGAAATTGTCAAAAAACGTCATAGTATAGTATGGCAACATACGACATTGTATAGTAAGGCATAAAACTTCAAAAAACATCATATTATAGTATGGCATAAAAATGTCAAAAAATGTCATAGTACAGTATGGCATAAAACGTCAAAAAAACATCATAGTATATAGTATGGAATTAGATGTCAAAAAACATCATAGTATAGTAAAGCATAAAATTGTAAAAAAAAACATCATTTTATCGTAAATCATAAAACGTCATACTAAAGTAAGGCATTACAGTCGGCAACAAACCTAACATGCATGTTTAAAGACTGTGAGAGGAAGCCAGATTGCCCTAAGAGTATCCATGCCGACACAAGAAGAACATGCAAAAACCTAACAGAATGGCCTGAGGCTGGGCTTGAACTTTTAACCTTCAAATTAGAAGGTGAGACCTCTAACCACTGCACTACTTACATTCTTTATGACAAAGATATTGTGTGTGTATAAAAAATTCATAGTATAGTAAGTCATAAAATTGTCTAAAAATGTCATAGTATGGTATGATATAAAATTGTCAACAAAAGTCATGGTACAGTTTAGCATAAAAATGTCACAAAAAGTTCATAGTATAGTAAGGCATAAATCGTCATAGTATAGTATGGATTAAATCCTCATAGTATAGTATGGATTAAAACCTCATAGTATAGTATGGCATACAAATGTCAAAAACCATCATAGTATAGTAAGGCATATAATTGTCTAAAAACGTCAGAGTATAGTATGGTGTAAAAATGTCAAAAAAAACATCATAGTATAGTAAGGCATAAAATTGACAAAAAGGGTCATAGTATAGTATGGCATAAAATGTCATAGTATAGTAGGGCATAGAGATGTCAACAAACATCTATGGGTCCATGGCTCTATATATCTATGGCCCTCCACATGGCCTATGGGTCCTAGAATGCCCGTGTTCCTAAGTTATATCACACAAGAGGGAGTGATGTTGTACTGATTCGATCATGAAGACAATCATAGCCGATTGTTGTTGACAAGTAAACCTTTTCCTGACATTTTCCTGTGCACACTAGCTATATATACATAAGCAGCCGCTTAGTTCGCTTATGCCTTGGGCCGGTCTTGAGGAGAGCTCAAGATAGCCCCCGCCACTCTTTTTAATAGATAAACTGTTATCTCCTGTAACCACATGGATTCCCTTCATGTCAACTGCACCATAACTGTGCAGTGTTATTGGTGCACTCCTCACACTGATGCGTTTTTCTATTGGGTGTACTGGGAGTTTAGTAACACGACAGTTACAAAACGGACACCTTGAGGTCGGGAGAACTTTGGACATATGCTTAAGCTCTAAAGCAACATTGGACAAGAGCAGTGAATACATAATGACATTTTGAAGATGACTGGCAGCACAAGTCAAAACATCCAAGTTGGCTTCACTCTAAAAGGTTTGGGTTTCTTTTTGTTTTCTGTCTGTTGTTGATTTCACTTCCACTTTGTCATTCGTCCATATCTTTATTACAACAACATTTCATTCAGGTCACATTCCATGGACCATTTCTGTTTATTGCTTAATGTTAATCTTGTCCTAATATACAGCTTAATGTACAAGTGCAATATAACAATTTGCTGAGTGTTGCACTAAAGGCATTCTCTGAAGCATCCCTACTGTTTTGTAATAATTTCCCATTATTATGCAAACTGGAAATTACAATACAAATAGGGAATAACATTTTCCTGATCCTGCAGGATGCTCCCTGGTTTGAGCTTAGCTGTCTTCCTCCTCTTGGCCACAGCAAGTGCACATACTTTTGGTCAACCGCGCCTATGTTCACTCCTGCTGTCTACTGGTCTGAAAATGAACTGCAGCTCCTTAAGCCTCATGGAGCTGCTTCCTCTGCCCTTAAACACCATAGAGCTTCATGTAGAGGACAGTCAGCTCACCTCAGTGTCTCCAGGCCTGTTTGACAGACTGGTTGGTCTGAAAAAGGTCTCACTATATGGGAACCCCTTCCACTGTGACTGCAGGATCCAATACCTGAGGAACTGGTTGCTGAAGAACAGAGATATTGTTTTAAAGAAGCCCATGTGTGCCAGTCCGAGCTCCGTGGCTCAGAGAGCCATCACTGAACTCAGCGATGACTACTTCTCTTCCTGTGTCCTGACAAGCTGCACTGGTGGGACTTACAACACATTGGTGGGACTGATACTATGCTGCATCATCGCTCTGCTTCTGTGGAGCCTGACACTAGCAAAAACGTCCACCTACACTCTTTCAATAGATGAGAGACACACAGGATTCGAGGCCAACTCTTTGCGCTCGCTGAAGCCCAAACACAGGAGGAGGCTGCACACTAATCTGTCACTGCACAGTTCAACAGAGGATCTAGAAAGGCCACTTATAAACATGGAGTTACTGCCGCAAGTTCTGGATGTGTTGAACAAGAAGCACAATATAAAGATAAAGGCTACCTGAGGGACCTCTTTAGCTTAAAAAAACACTACAAGTGACAACAAGAGGTGAGAGCTGTAACAAGACAGCACAATGGATTTTCTGTTTTCTAATAAAGCTGATTTACTGTTAAACCTCCAGAGCTCTGTCTCCTAACACTCCCTCCAGGTAACTTTTTCCCTAAAATGCAACCTGATTTTGTTCGTTTAGGCATGAAATGCTCTAGATGATATCCATTTATAAAATATTTTGACTTCTTATTGTGTTGAAAATGGATGAGACTTAATTGGAAATGTCTAGATAGTATGGATCAGTCTATGCATTACATTTGTCCTACATATGATCTATCAGACCTTTAATTGTGCTCTTATGAAAAGAATGAGCTAGTTGAACATTTATGTTGAATTTCACATAGACACTGTATATCATGGCCATTTTCAATAAGCTGTTGATATTTTCTGTTTGAAAAAACACACACACACACACACACACAAATGGTTTACAACCGTTGTGTAACTGTTCTTTATATTTTCTTAAGTTAAAGTATTTACAATGTGTGAATTACTACAAATGATCAAACATGGGTCGGTAAAAGCTTTTGATTGGCATTGAACTTTTATCTAAATAAATTCTTAGTTCGCTTTTACTTCATTATAATGAACAGGTTACGGCAGGAAGATAATGAGAACATTTAACAAAGATGAAAATCTCTGATTTGTGCAAATACTGGTCAAGGCTCTCACAACTAGACATAATGCAGACAGACAGTACTATTAGAGGACAATATTGCACATCAGTTGTTTTTTTACAGTACAAGTATTACTCATATATTCATGCATAGATTTTCCAGGATAAATGGTAAGGTAAACAAATGACTAAAAATGCAATAATAAAAAGTCACCTTGAGAATAAAGGTCAAATGTTATTTGAATATGCTTCTTAAAAACACTGGTAAAATCTTGTAATAAATATAGGATGATTTCAGGATTTGTAATAATCTAAAACATTACTATCATCTACAAAAATACTTAGTAGGGTCAAATAAGGCAGATCTTACACTTTTCCTTAATGAAAGACAGGAAAGTAAAGACTATCACAAAAACAATATAAAAGAGCAGTTGACTGTTACATGATTAATTTTCTCGAACGTTTGTCTCAGTGTTGAAAGTTAAGAAGATGACCCATATTCTGTCAATGCCCTGTCAGGTGATTAAACAATGTCCACAGTGTTAGGCTCCCACAGGTTTATGCATTAAATGTTATTACCCGGTTTAACACCCCACACCTCCTTCACTGGTGCCTCCATCATCACATAAAACCTGTAACCTCAAAAACTCTACTGAGGCACAAACTTCTCCTGCTCAAAGATCAGGTCGACAGCTTCAGCCACATCCTGCACGATGTGGCCCGGCTCCACTAGCGCGGGGTCAAATCTGAAGTCCCGGTGCCCGTGAAACACAGTCTCTTTGATGCAGTGGTTCGCATCACACGGCACCTCTGCTTTGGGGTTGTAGACGCCTGTGCAGACGAGGACAGACTTACAGGAAGTTGCAGAGGGCAGCGCTAGCTCGCTCTCCCACAGGTTGTCGACCTCCTCCTCCTGGGGCACTGCAGTGGTGGATCCTGTGGCAGCCACCATCTTGGCAATGGCTTTGGGGTTCTTCCTAGCAACTCTCTCGTCCAGGTAGCGGTTGTACAGATTGGCGCCGTAGATGTCAGTCATAAGGTTATCCCTGAGAGCGAAGAAGGGAAGACATTACTCAGATATTGATACAGCATGTGTAAGAATGCTTTTATTCAATTGTTCAATTAGAACAATAACACACAGAGTCGACACACAAACATAGAACACAACTGGGATAAAAACTTGAAGTGAAACATGCAACTTCTGACACGCTTCTGTTTTTCACATATATTTTCCCACCAAATTATTGAGTAACATTTCAATAAGGTTACCTCCATGTTAGTCTGCAGCACTCGTTCCTGCTCTCTGCCTCTTTACATTACTTACACGCATTGTAATTGGGCTGCATTAAAAGTGGATTCTGATTATGGTGCAAGACTTATCGTTTCCTTAGTGTTTCCCATAAGCTGTTAAGTACATTTATGAGACAGAGAGAAACTTTGTTGTCTTACCCTATGGCATAAAGGGAAGTGATGGGAAGTTTCCATTGCCGCTGCATGGCCTGGCTTCTGATGAGGTATTCTGCAAAATGGTAGGTCAGCTCACTGGGTTTTCCCATGAGCGCCTCGTACTTCAGGTCTTTGCCTGTTATCTTCTTATAGATGTTCTCTAGGCACACAAGAAAGGTCCCGTGGCCAAACCTGAGACAAAATGAGATGGTGGAAGACAGAAAAATACATTGACTCCTTCATTTGGCAGCTTTCAAGACTGTGCTTTAGTTGCTAATGTTAATAAATGAAATTCTTTAAAAATTTTCTGTGACAGTGCTTGTTTTTAAAGGTTACCGTGGAGAATGTGCCTCAGCCATCCACATGAGGTCCATGTTGCAGGCAAGCAGGGGGAGGTGAGGCATCTTTTGGGTTTGGTGAACACTGCTGAGGTTACCATTGGTCAACAAGACATCAACTATTAGCTGCAGGTTGGTCTCCCATCGAATCGGCTCCCCGAACAGAACCACAGCTGTGTGTTGAATTATGCAGGGAAGAGTTGAATCACTGACATATTAAAGTAACTTAATAACTTATTGCCTCACAGTTGTATGAAATATGGTCACAATATCCTCTTCCTCAGTTACAGTGTTGAATAATGACGTTGCAGAACGTTATGATGTCACAGTGAATTTAACCATTGACCATTTGGATATAAAATGTCATCACTTCATCATTTTATCCTATGAGACATTGAGTAAAATTGTGTTATAATTAGAATATGAATTCATTAGTTATGCCCAAAACTGTGTTTTTTGAGGCCACAGTGACCTTTGACCTTTGACCACCAAAATCTAATCAGTTCATCCTTGAGTCCAAGTGACTGTTTGTACCTAATTTGAAGAAATTCCCTTAAAGTTTTACTGAGATATTGTGTTCACAAGAATGGGATGGACATATGGACATATGGACGGGTGGACAACCCTGAAAACATAATACATCTGGCCCTGGCTGCCATGGGCGCAGAGACATAAAACTCTGACAAAGCAGATGTCGGTGAGTAACTAAGAGACCGACAGCTATAAAACCTGTGAGATGAAATAAGAGGTACATGTTCTTACCTTCAACCTTTGGGAGGTTGCCAACAGGATTGGACTGAAATAACAGAAGGGAAACTGAACATGTGCTGCTGAATATGACTAAAGAACACTTTAATATTTCTACAATCAACACCTAAATTGACATGTAAATATCTAACCGGCAGTTTGGGTCTCCTGTTGTGATCCACCATGTCCAGCAATGGGTACGATTCCCTCAGTATATCAATACTGACAACATTCTTGAAGCCCACACTAGAGACAGAGTGTTAAGGAGAAATGTAGAGTATTATTCAAGTACAGCTTGAAATAAATCATGCATAGAAAACATAACAAATCAGGATTCCAGGATACTTTTTAGCAATTTCCAGGACTGGTCCTTGTCCTGACACCAGCACACACTTATCATGGAACTTCTTGAACATCCTCAGGGGACTATGGGACATGATGACTTGATCTTGTGTGATCTGCAAACAGATCAAGTGTTAGGAGCAGTTTGAAGCAGAGGTGACAGGGTACACCAGATTAATCCAAAAACAGAGGTGCATGTTTTATTCAAGCTGCATACAGCATACATCATAAATCCTCTATAGTGCTCTCAACAGTTTGACAACTCACAGGTACACCCAGGATGTGAGAGAGCTGGTCTGCTTTAGTTTGTCGGAGGCAATTCCCTGCATTTGTGACAAAAACAAGTGGTACCACAAACTGTCCCTGAGAGTCAACCAACTTCTCAAACGCCTTTTTTGCTGCAGGGATTGGCATCCTTCCCCGGACAAGTACGCCATCAATGTCAAACAACAGCCCAAAGCTTGGCTGTGGCTGTGCCTGTGGCTGTGGCTGTAGAAGGGAAGGACAGGACACTGGTTAGTCAGCTAAACTGCAGACAAGAAAATGAAAGAGCACAGCTTTCTCTTTACATGAAGAAACATATTCAGAAAGGATGAAAACGGATTTGAAACATGCCTGGGTAAAATGACCAAAATTAGTGTGAAATGATGAATCATTAAATAACTAATGGGCTTTTATGTGGCACATTATGAAAGGGGAGCAAACAGAACTTGTGACCATGCACAGTATCAAAGGCTCCATTTTTACACTGGAGGAATTACAATGACAATCCAAAGGATCAATTGTCATGTGAATTGACTTAAGTTCATTTTATAGTATGTGTGTAGTCTGTTTATATTGTTTCCATACATGACAGTGTATTTCTAATAACATTAATGACTGGGTTGACTCTACAGTATAAAATAATATGGGCCCTTCTTTATATTTGCAACATAAAGGGTAGCTAAAGAGAAGCAATAGTGGGAGTCCTGTGGTGACACAGCAGTACAGAGGGGTATTTGGTTACATTGTTGGTATAATACAAATAATCTGACAGCTATCCAAACAGATATGTACAAGATCTTCTTTGTGCTTTTTCCTCAATGTTTTTCCTGTAACTGGGGCTGAGAAAAAAAACTGGGAACACAGTGTATCAGCGACTGTTTTTCTCATCAGGGAAAACACAGTAGCCTATAAGCTACATCTGGTGCTGTCCCTGATGTCAGATCCCCTGCAGTTTCATCCCCGCCAGCGCATCGACATCTGACAAAGTTGCATGCAACATTGTATGCAACGTCGATCTGATACAGTCTAACAAAAAATCTGAACAAAGTATCGCCGTGCCAACAACGTATTGTTCGCCTGAGCCGAGGCACAGCAACAGCTCCAACCGTACCTTGCTATTAGACTGAGTTCCGCAAAACCCGCACCGAGAACCGACAGTCCCAGCTTTTCGTCTGGCTTGACGGTTACTCAGGGTGTACAAGCCCCGGTAAAACGGCACGAGTCCCCTCATCTCCTCTAGTTATCACCGGGTTAAAAAGGTTTTAAAAAATAAGGATCACAATGACCCCCCGTATAAAGCATGAGCCGGCTCACTCCGGCCGCGCTGGCTGCTGTGCTCGGCTTGTTTTTTCCGATATTTTCTTGCCTACAATTTGACTGGGCTAGACCCGATGACGACATATGAGGAGTAGGAGGGTCTCTTTCTGCATCTCAGCTGGGAGGAGCCGCAAAGCTGCATCTGCACCGCAACCCCCGCTGCCATTTTAGACACCGAGGTGGAGCTTACCCTTGTCTTGCAGGCACAAGCACCTCTGCGGACCACAGGCCGCCGCTGCGTGAAATACACCAGCTCGGTGATCCCCGTTACCCTGATCCACACCGCAGGTTTTTATGAATATGTATATGTATATATTCCATGGTGGGTCACTTATTTGCTGTATGAGTCACAACATGGATACTGATGGACCTTGAGACTTTGTTCTCCATTTTATTCCTCGGCTTTCATCTTTGGGATGATGAACTAATTTGGTCCACCCTCATATCCTGGACGGGCCTGTGTGGCTAAATTTTGCTGCAAGAAACCAGAAGGAATGTGACAAGGAAATCTGATCCTTCCTGTTAAAAGACTGCACAGTCTCCCTTCCAGTTTTACCAGACATAATTTGTATATGAAAGCACCCACTTTTAAAGCTTGCACAGAAAAGTGTGGCTGCACAAAGATGCACATTTCAGGTCAAATGTGGCTGCATTGTATAGATGTATTGCAACAAAGCACAGACATCAGAAAACAAAACTTATGTGGACCAAAGAAAGCAAGAATCACTGTGTATGCTGTTAAGCTACAGCTCACTTTAGGTGTATAGCTTTTAGATTTATCTTGGATTTGGGTTTCTTTGAAGCTTTATCATTCAGTAAAGATGGATCTCACACCTGCAAAGGAAAGGCATTTTTAAACAAGCATTCAAACTTTATATATTGGACTCAAATCAGACACAAGCTCTTCCCCGTGCTCCTCCAGCTTTATTGATAGTTTAAAATTACATTTCTATTTTCTAGGACTTCAGTTGCACTTTCCTTCCGACTTAAAAACTGAGTACAAGCAAATGGTATTTATACAGTAGTCTAAGTGATATTGTACAAAAATAACATTTTGATTTCTGTGAAAACATTTTTCATTCCCAAATAACTCCTAATTCTGCTGTTCTGACAACTGTTCTTGATGTTAAATTTTGCCAAGGTAAAAAAAAAAAAATTCCAAAGCCATTTTAAAAGGAAAAGTCTACCTTGGACTACCAAGTGATATTTAAATTGTAAACAGATTTCTATAAAAGAACGTGTTTCTTTTAATACCTCCAAAATTTTTATATCTTAGCAATATAACATGTAGTTAGTTATCGCCCTCATTGCTGCTTGTAGGGCTGAAATGCATCATGTTATGAACTGTTTCCATGTCATACTCTCTTGGCCAACTCAGATCCCACTAAAACAAACCAAAATAACCATACATGGAAGTTCGGTTTCTATTTACTCCCTTCTTCTATCTCATTTTACTGAGACTCACTTCCACAAGCTCAGAGGTCCTATAGATTCCCATATGTTTAGTCCCATTTATTCATCTCTGATCACCAGTGGCTTGGAAAGGGGGGTTCTTTAACAAAGCATTATACATAACACCGCTACCAAACTAAAACATTTTTGTATTGAATGCAGAAAGATATTTTTTTCACCCCTTTCATTGTATTACATGTCGAGAGGCTCACTGGCCTGGGACTAGCCTCTGTTAGCCAACCTTTGGCCAGTGAAGAGGATTCAGAGAAAATAATACAACCAACCATCAATCTGAAAAAAGGAGGGGCAACAGAGGGCACTGATTATGCAGTGGCTTCAATGGTGCACTCTTTTGCCAGGTGGCCTGCCTTTCCGCAGTTGTAGCAGTTAGTCTCGCTGGCTTTACTGCAGTGCACAGCAACGTGACCAATCTCACCACACCTAGGGGAGACACAAGATTAAGACTGACTTACTCAAAAGTGAGAGTTAAATTAAGCAACACAAACCTACGTTAGGATTATGAACAATTGTCTAATATAATTTTGTACACAATTTAAGACATTTTCAATAACTATAACACTGGGGTGGCAAAGCAGGAATCCAAGTCAACACTCACCTGTAACATTTCACCTTGTCGCAAAGTTTCTGGATGTGGCCAAACCCACCGCAGGAGTAGCACTTCTGCTCGTTGGCATGATCACAGTCACGGGCCATGTGACCAGCTTTGCCGCAGGTGTAGCAGAGCTGCTCCCTCTCCTTTTTGGGCTCCTTGCAGTCCCGGGAAATATGGCCACTCCTGTGGCAGTTGTAGCACGCTACAAAGTAAGAACAAAATGTTGTTGTAATTACTTCTGTAACTGTGTTGTAATCAAATATCACTTCACAGCAACTAAGCAAGAAAGAATTGGAATGCGCACCATCCTCGGTTTGGTCACAGTCCCTGGCCATGTGTCCTTGGTCTCCACAACGATAGCAGAACAGCTCTGTAATGACAAAGACAGATTGGTGTTAAAAGATGAAAAAAAGACATGGTTTTAATTCATGGCTTTAATTCCCAAGTGATTCTCCTCAAAATGACTATGTTCCACCAGGGATGATGTGCTGAGACCCATCTACAATCCCAAAACTACAGCTACAAGTGAACATCATATGTAAAGTGCAGTTAAAATAGAACACTGTGCACCCTAGGTATTTTGTAATAATTATCTTGTACTGGTGCGGCCTGCATAGTATATAGTACCCTTGCCTCGTCCCCGACCCCTGCCGCGTCCACGTGCACCACTGGCATTAGGGCAATGCTTGATCCAATGGCCAGAGCGGCCACATCCAAAACACTCACTGTTGCTGCTCATCTCCATTACCTAAACAAAAACATAACACATATCAGTAAACAGAAATCAATGTAAAATAAAATCTTTCCAAGTTGTTATGAACACAGCGTGTACACTGGACACATTTCAGCTGCCCATTTTACCGGGATTTCACACCAAGCACACAAAGAAAGTCAATTCGTTTAAAAAAAAAAAAAAAAAAAAGGTGGGTATTAGTTTGCCATGTACCATCTTCATTTCTCAAAATTTAGCTTTGACCCTCTTGGAGGCATGAGGTGTGTTCATGGGCATTGTTGCAGACAAAAAAATTATATTTTATTGATGGCAAATTTAACTGCACAATCATATCTGTCACAAGGAATTGCAGAGGGATACCATTTAACCTTGTTTTCATATTCTACATTTTGGTTCAAATGAAGCTTAGCAAGTGGCCTCTCAAACAATTAAGCTGCTTACAATGACATTAAAACCTGAAAACATTAACATAGCACATTACTCGTCACTGGCAGCCAAATCTGTTTAAACTACTTACACACTTATTGACATAATGCGCTTTGGCTCTGCCACAGACATATTATACCAATTGTCATATTTGGTGTGAAAGCCTGTTGATCAACTCATCTGGCACTTAAAGAGATGCAGCTGTTTACACCAGTGCTAACTGGTAGGTGAACAACTGATGCCCTGATGATCTGAGGTTTTTTTTTTGTTTTTTTTAAATGGTGCAGCCAGTGTACACAAGGTGTCATGTCTACTGTGTCATCGGGAATGATTTGATCATGAATATAATCAAATAACCATGTCTGTGCAGGGCTACCAAATGGTCTTAAAAACCATTTTAGAAAATACTCTATTAATGATTTTAACAGTTTTTCATGTCTGAGCCAACTTACAGCGCACAACTCACATCAGAACTGCAGGAGTCAGTCTAGCATAATGACTACCAAGGGGATCTAATCTACAATCAAACAAAGGGGTAAATTTGCAGCTGTGGAGTCTATCATAATCGGCCATCGGACTACAACTAACTACTAAACTAACTTACACGATTTCCTCAATGGAATCATGTTGTGATCGGCCAAACTTCAGTTTGCTGACTGCTGCTAAAGACATCAAGTCAGGAAGAATGTGAGTTAATGAGTAATCAAGGTCCTTGCAAGGGATGCTCAAAAGACGTGTGGGATGACAGAACGAGGCAGCTAGATAACCTTAGTACAATTAGCTAACTTGTTGCTTATAATTCTTGTAATGGTCATCCTAATGTCCGCCGGGCCTCAAATTGTATCTTATATAATTGTATTTCGCTAATTACAAAAATAATATTTCTATTGTAGCCACACGAAAGCTCGTTTTAACCGGAGTCTTTCACTTAGAAAAACAGACAGCCGAGTTTATCTTCCGTAACTCAGCCTAATATAATGCTACACGTTGTTAACTACAACAGAAATGGCTATGAAAGCATGCCGTGGATTGTATGCTAACTTGGAAAGCTAACTCCAAAGGGCAGTCACAAATCGCGTCGTATTATGTTGATTTAACATCTGCTAAAACAGCACGCCCGAAGTCTAACCAAGATTAAGATAACTCGACACGATTTAAGACGGGCCTATGAGCCATCTAAGCTAAGTAAATAACGAAACGACGTGATTCCGACCCGTTTTTGGACTTGCAAACAGAATCAAATGCCAAAGGTTGAAGCTACGCTAACGTTGGCCTAGTCACGTTGATTTTACTGCGTGCTCGCGAGACACTGGTGCTGCTGGCTAGCACATGCTAGCACAGCACCACACGATCACGACCAAGAAGCACGGTTCAGTCGACGATCATTTTTCTTTCTCCATTAAGAAAGTGAGGATCGAACTCTTTTAGCGATAAAGGTTTACCGTATATTATTCCTGACGGGTATTCACGCGAATATACCATAAAAACATAATTTCCCGCGCAGGGCGCACACACCAAAGTCGTTGTGACGAGCTAACGTTAGCAGGCCAGACTGAGAACCCGATGCTCCATTAGTGAGACCAAACCAAACCAGCGCGTTTTCACAAAAGAAAACCGACTAAACGTCCAATTTTCCGCTATAATGAATTTTAACACTTCATAGTTTCAAAGTTTACAGATACATAATATCCACTGACCAAATACATTTTAGTGCCGTTTTATTGCTTACCTTGCTGGCTACCTAGCTATGTCAGTGTTTACGCCTCCTTCTTTGCGCTACATGCGGTGTGAGCAGGAGTTCCTG